ACTGATGAATCCCGTTGTACTGCAGCCATTTGACTCGTGGACTGCGTCAACCTGAACGTCGTATAAATGCAAAACGGCTGCAGTACAACGGGATTCATCTTTCCTCTTCTGGTGAGATCAACCTACGAATCTCTTCTTATGCACTTTCATACGAAATGAAAGTTCCCCAACAATAATTTATTTAGAAGTTGCTTGATCTTGTTTTCACAACTTGGTCATATTGGTAGGAAGACTTAGAGGAAAGCAGCTGGTCCAGAGTCAATTGTATGCATGGGGGGTGAGAACAACAGCGTTGAGTGTGGAGGGTTCTCATGAATGCCGCTCAAAAGGGCACACCACACTACATCGAAATAAGTACGGTAAAAATTGTAACATTGAAGGTGTGATAGGAGGATATAGGAAATGTGAATAGCCCATGGCAGAAGAGGAGATAGCACAACTGTTTAGCACACATTTGATCAAAGGATAGGCTTCACTTGTCTCTTTGACGACTTGTTGTATGGTGCTAAGAATGTCAAGGCTCGCTGACGATACCGGCGAAACGTCTGAGAATGTACCACGTCCACGGTCTAACTTTGGAAATAATCATGCATACAATGGATTCCAGACTAGGTGCGTTCCTCTAGTCTTCCTACCAATATGACCAAGTTGCAAAAACAAGGTCAAACAACCTCTATACAACGAAAGGAGACTGCGCCCATACAAAAGGCCACATCATCCTGGTCTTCATATCTTCCAATAGTTTATTTACATTGACAACAGTTGTGTTCACATCCGCTCTCCTTCCTGCATCACTCTGACCTACTTACATGCATCTAGGAGAAGAATACGCAAACCGACCAAATCACGAAACGCTTCATTCAGATCTCAATGTGAGGTACAAGAAGTAAGTAGAATCTCAGCTGGCCACCTTTCTCAGTTTAGTGTTTTTTTGTCGTTTTTCGTGAATAATGGTTTCTGGCTCTGACGATGTCCTTCCAAGTATGGACGAAAGCTCAGCACGGAGTCATCAGGGTCTTAAGACGGTTGGCCGAGGTCTTCTTCGCACAATTCAACAGACAAAAGTCCAAGGCAACCTGGTGAGGACAATCTACGAATCCCTTCGACCCCCCTTCTTGAACGAAATGAAAGGTACGCCAGTAGCGTCTAGCCAACACTGCTACCAAACAGAATTACACATCATCTTGGTCTTCATATCTACGATCTAATTATGGCGGTGAGATTGCCAGTCAATGCAATGATTAAAGCAGATCAAAGCAAATAATCATAAGTCAACTTTGTTATTTGACCTTTCTTAACTGTTGTAAACATTATGGCATTCCTCCTAGTTTATTTCAATTTGATGAGAAAATATTATTCCGATAGAGTTCATTTTATACTATATCGAGCTTCCTTGTAAAAATTAGAGGGGATATGAAAGGAAGAAGGAGAAATTATTTGCGCTTTCAGATATTAAGTCTAGACTTAGGCATGATTTTAGTCGGTTTTTCACCACAGAGAATTTCCTGAAACTACAGAAGATGACTGACGACATGCTGAAAAGTGCATCGGACTTTATCAAAAAAGGCATCAAAAGAAACTGAATAAATACGGGATCTATAGGCAGCCCAAGGTCTAACCATCCCGTAGAAATGAGGATGTGTATAGAGGATAAAGTAGTGAATCTCTATTTCGTCCCTTTTGACCTGGAAACAACAGAGATCCTCCAGAAGGGACTAAATTTCGCACTTCTGAATGAAAGGAAGGCAATCAAGAACATTTAGTGGTGATAAATACCTGTGAGAAGCTGCCTGAAGAAGTAAAAAGAGAGATAGAAATGCAGATCATCCCAGCAATCTCAGCGCATCAAGAACTCACACATAGGGACAATATAACCAAGATATATAGAAAATGGAAAAAAACGATCAAATAGTCATACAAGCCGACAGAGGAGGTACCACAGTGGTGATGTACAGGAAGGAATATACAGCAAAAATGGGAAATATTCTCAGGAACACCATAACTTATCGACTGCTAGCAAAAGACCCAGTAGTTAAAATCAAGGGGACACTGCAGGAAATATTGAAGGAAATGAATATGAACGGGGAAATCGACAAAGAGACTATGAACTCACTCATAAGAAAGGATGCAGGAGCTCCAGTAGCGTTCGGTTTGCCTAAGGTAAACATAGAAGGACTCACTTCTTCTGAGTTCCGAGAAGAGATACTGGGAAAACTAACTCAAAGGTGTCTTGGAAATGGATATCCAAGAGAAGCAATACAACGCAACGTACGGATGGGGGTGAACATATGGAAGGACGGAGATTATGAAAGGAAAGCAAGAGGAGCAGAGAAAAAACAATTCATGTGTCTACCCTCCTGCGAATTGGCATGGAAGCTACGGCCAATACTATGGAAATGGAACATTCGTACAGTCATGATGGAAAGGACAACCCTCTTCACCAGCTTGCCCGCACAACATGAAGAAGTCAACAAAATGGAGTGCTCCGGAGTTTACAGCATAAACTGCAAGGACTCTAAACAAAAGCACAGGAGATATGGGTAGGACAATGAGCACATGGATCAAAAAACACCAGCGACTATACAGAAAAATGGATACATAAAGATCAGAGAAATCTGAACACATCATCATTAACGTCCACACAATTGACTGGAATGCAGCGGAAAGACTGGTCCCATATGAAGAAAACACCAGGAAACGGAAGATAAGGGAGGCTGTGGACATCCTCTTCCAATGAAACCTGATGAGCAGGAGGTTAGAAGAGGGAAGAGTCGGCGACAATTTCGTGTACTGTTTGGGCAGACTCAGAGATTCAGCGAAGACATCAAAAAGAAGACGCTTGGAGCCTGGACAACTGTTCAACAAGAAGAAGAGACATCACCAAGGCGCGGCTCATGAGGAATGATGGGAATTTAAGAAAAAGCAACTGCGGTAAGAAGAGTCAAACCAGGAATTGGCGAAAAATTTAATTCTGAGGGATCTATTTGAGATGTAAGATATGAACTTAATGGTTTAAGTACAGATGGACCAGATATAGGTCATCAGTTTATGTGCATTTTTCGTGTCTGTGCCTAAATGGAAGGTGACTGGTGACATGCTTGGCCACGTGGGATACCAACTAACACACACACACATGAGCATCAGTATATTGGATGGGAGTGTCAACTTTGCGATTTAAAGGAAAAAAGGGAAGCGGTTCATTT